TGGGCACCCCCAGAGTCGTCTGGAACTTTGTATTAGTTATGTGCAATGCAACAAATTACTCCCTAACTTAGTAGCTAAAAAAATCCAAAGTCTCGCCCTGGCCGGGTAGCTCAGTTGGTTAGAGCGTCGTCCCAGTACGCCAAGGTTGTGGGAACCCCTGTCAGGGCACATACACGAGGCAACCAATGAGTGCATAAATAGGTGGGACAACAAATCGATGTTTCTCTCACTCTCCTTTCCTCTCTATCTAAAAATCAATTTAAAGTTTTTAAATACAAAATCGCATCTAAATCAGTTATGAGACTCAAGGTACAACTGTTCATTCTGAGGTCAATTCCTCTCCTCCCGTGAAATCAAACATGTTGTGTGCTTCCAGATACCATGGTGGGCCGTTATAGGATAGACATTCCAAAAGGGAGACATAGGAAGGAAGAAAGGAGGGGCAGGTCCTGCGAAGTCCAGATGCTTCAGGCTCTTTGGCTAGAGCAGTGGTTCTCAACCTTCTGGCCCTTTAAATACAGTTCCTCATGTTGTGACCCAACCATAAAATTATTTTCGTTGCTACTTCATAACTGTCATGTTGCTACTGTTATGAATCGTCATGTAAATATCTGATATGCAGGATGGTCTTAGGCGACCCCTGTGAAAGGGTCGTTCGACCGCCAAAGGGGTCGCGACCCACAGGTTGAGAACCGCTGGGCTAGATGCTCTGCCCCGCAGGCCTGCTGGGACTGCGGTCCCACCTTCTGGACCCACCGGGCTGGGGGAATCCTGCCTCTGGCCACCCCAGGATGGCATTTCTGCCCCCCCCCCCCAAGGCCCTGTGCCCACCCATGGCTTTATTAGGGGAAGCCCTGGCAGCAGGGCTCCAGGGCTGGACTTGTAAGCAGGTGGCTCGGCCAGCCCCCAGGACTCCGCTGGAGAGTGCTATGATGAGGGTCGCTCAGAGACGGCCCCACCCTTGAGGTGGCCCTCTGCCTGGGCTGTGTTGCTGGCATCTCTTCAGAAATCTAGGTGGAGACAGCCACACCCCCCCACAGCTTTTCTGGGCAGAGCCCAGACCTGAGCAGAAGGGCAGGGGCAGCTTCTCCTTTAAAATCCTCCTGCCACAAAGGCCCTTATACTCTAGGCTTGTGATGGGAGGGAGCCCTGATGACCTGAACATGCCTCTGGGTCATTCTCCCATTGTCTTGGACGTCTTTTTCTGCAATCCTCCTCTTTTCTTCCTGGGCCCTCACCAGAATTGCCAGTGGTCAGTTCATGGCAATATAGGCTCTTCCCAGCATGTGCCCCTAAACCAGGGGTGGGCAAACTTTTTGACTCGAGGGCCACAATGGGTTCTTAAACTGGACCGGAGGGCCGGAACAAAAGCATGGATGGAGTGTTTGTGTGAACTAATACAAATTCAAAGTAAACATCATTACATAAAAGGGTACGGTCTTTTTTTTTCAATAGTTTTATTCATTTCAAACGGGCCGGATCCGGCCCGCGGGCCGTAGTTTGCCCACGGCTGCCCTAAACCCTCCCAGCCCCTCCCCAGTTCCCGGTTCCAAAGCTGCCTCCACCGTTTTGGGTATTTGTTACAGCGGCACCCCCACTTCACGATACCAATTTCTCTGACTTAGTCTGTTCGTACTGCGATAATGAAATACCAGAAACCCGGTGGCTTAGAAACAACAGACATTTATTTCTCACAGTTCCGGAGCCTGGAAGTCCGAAAGCGAGCGGTCAGCAGATTCGGGTCTGAGGAGAGCCAGCTCTCTGGTCACAGATGGGGCCTTTCAGCGGCAGCCTCACATGGCCATTTAAGTTTTAGTTCATCCACATCAAACCAAGTTATGAGAGTCAATCCCTCAGTGACAGTAGCCGTGTTTGCAGTGGTTACAGCCTCTGACCGTATCAGGCAGCCCAGATAAAACATTTCTACCATCACAGAAAGTCCCATCTGTCAGCACCAGTGTGGGGGAATGCTTGGCATCGAGCGAGCCTCCAAAACTGTTACTCGTAGGATTAACCATATATCTGTTAACTAGTATAATTATAGTGTTATATCTGTGACTGTTAATCCTGTGCTAGTTTATTGTTATTCTCATATTTATTATTAATCCTATAACTATTAATTGCTGTATTGTTAGTCCTAGAACTGTTAGCTATGATTATATTATTACATTTCTTATTAATCTTATTACTAACCTATTGTTATGTTTATTATTATTAATCCTGTAACCATTAGTTCCTATTATTACTATTAACCCCTGACCTATTAGCTGTTATCCTATTTATTATTGCTACTAATACCCTACTGTTATTTTATATTTGCTATTAAACCTGTAATAGTTAAGTTACTCTTATTATTAATTAGACCTGCTAACTATTGTTACATTATATTTATTATCAACCCATTCATTATTAATCCTGTACATCTTAACCTCCATTTTGTCATTAATCCTGAGAGTCTCTGGCCCCTGGGAGTTGGCAGGCAGCAGGTGCGCTCACCCATTGGAAGGCAGGGCTGTGGGACCTGCTCCCTTCAGACCGCCTTGCTTGTTTGGGGAATTCAAATAAACCTCTTTCTCTTTGGGGCCCTAGCAACCTGTGGGATGGGAGGAGCCACCGTCAGCCAGCCTCCGGAGGAGAAGAAATCGCTGCTCTGAGCTAGATGCTTTCAAATCTAGGGCAAGGTAAGGCGACGGAAGGGCTATTCGTTGTAAACCACTTGCCTTTCTAAGGAAAATCACAAAATGAGAAGTCTCTATTGCTGAGAGCGTTGAAACAAGAAGCTGGTTCTGAAGGGGATGCTGGTGAAAAGTTAAGCGAGAAAGAAAACCACGTAGGGCCTCAGAGAAATCTGGCGCGAGAGAAGGCTTGCACGGTGATTAAAAAGGGGAAGAACCACAAGTCTCCATTTAAGTCAGCAGAACTGCCGTCTGGGCAGTGAGAGGGAAAGTGCCTGTGGCTGGCAGATTTCAGCAACCATTTGACAACTGCTGTGTACCTGGCAGCTCTGTGGGCACCACCTGGCAGCTGTTGGACTGTAGGCAAGTAACTGCTCTCTCTGGCCCTCGGTCTCCCCACGTGTGATAAAGAGATAATAATAACAGGGTGAATAATTTAGGCTTCCCTCATACCTGTCCCCCCACCCCCTTGTCCCACATCCTCACATGGGTGTGAAAATCACTGGGTTCCCTCCTAATGGGTTGCCAACTGTGGACTATGAAGCTCAAGTCCTAAGTTAAACAGATCCTTTGGCTCAAATCACGCCATGGCTCCCTATTGCCCTCAAGAGAAATCCCAAACTTGCCACCAGTGTCTTCCAGTCTCTAGGTAATGGACCCGCCTTTCCAGGTTCATCTTTCCCCATCTATCAGTCTAGGTATCACCACTGCCTTCTTGCCTTTCCTCCAACACACCAAGCTTATTTCCACCCCAGGACCTTTCACTTGCTGTTCCTTTGGTCTGGAATGTCCTTCCCTCGGATCTCATCTTGCCTGGATCCCACGTGCTTTGGGGTGGGGCAGAGATGTGCTCTCAGCTCCAATGTTAGCTCCTCAGAGAGGTCCTTCCTGAACCTCCATTCTAAGACAGCGTCTTTCCCCTCTCCATCCTGTAATTGTATTGTCATCTTCATAATACATTACCCCATTTATTTATCTATGCTCTTCATCCCCCCACCAGCATGTTAGCTCCATGAGCCCAGGGGTATCTGTTTTGTTTACTGCTGTGTCCCCAGCACCTAGAATAGTGCCTGCCCGTCGGTAGATATTTAACACACACGTGTGGAAAGCACATGGTTGTGACCAGTTCCTTCAAAGTTATAAGAGTTTTTCAGCCCACCCGCCCCCTCCCCCCATCTGGGTGGGGTCTGGAAATCCCCTCTTTCCGGGGAACCCCTTGCTGTGGCAGCAGGAGTAGACCTGACTGTTTAGAAACACTAACGTAGTAGTGTTTTCCCTGGGGCAAAACTCCGTGCTAACGGCTGTACTGCATTAAACTCATTTAATCCTCCCAGGAACCCAATGGAGTGGGTACTCTCGTATAGTTTCCATTTCAGAGATGAGGAAATTGAGGTATGGAGAAGTGTAGTCATCTGCCCAAGACTGAGAAGAGGGGGAGGCAGTGGAACGGAGCCCTGAGCTGTCTGGGAAGGGGCGGTGTGGCCCCGGCTGGCTGGAGGCGTGAGCGGCTTGTTTCCGGTCGGGAGGGAGGGAAGACTAGGCATTCTTCTCCCTCCTCCCAAGGGTTGGAGGAAGGCTGGCTGAGCCTAGGCTCCACCTCAGACTAGGGGGGACCCCACCGTCAATCTCGCCCCACGTAAGGCCCGTACAGAAAATGAAAGTAGTCCGGGGGCGAGCGGAGAGGGAGGCCCGGAGGGCAGGGGAGCCAGCGGTCGGGGAGAGCTTCCTGGAAAAAGATGCACTCCTGGAGTGGGGCGAGGGGGGTCGGATGGAGGCACGGGCTGAGGCAAGAGCAGAGCTGGGGGCGCGGGGGCCGGGTGGGGTTGGGATCCTTCCCCAGGCGATGATGAAAGCTGCGGTAGCTATTGCACCGGCTGGACCCGCGCGTGCTGATAAGGCCCGGTCTGGGGGAGTCGGCTGGGGCGTGCCCCGTCCAGGCTGAGCGGCTCGGCCCCGCCCTAGGCCCCGCCTCTCCCCCACTCTGCCCCGCCCCCTCCGGCGGAGGCACTCGGTGGTAGGCAGGCGCTAGGTGGGCGGGGCCGGACTTGTCCGGCCCCTCGGGTCGTTCATTCCCTTCTTTAGGCTGCGCGAGGCGAACTCGGGTGGACGAGAGAGGGGCGTGGCTTAGAAAGGCCCCGCCTCTCGTCCGGCCCGCGTTCGAGACTCTCGGACCTGGTCAGCCTCGGGAAGCAGGAATGGTGGGCGGGGCCATGATCAGCCCCGCCCCCTCTGGCGGAGTCTGGCTCGCGGTCGAACAGGGGCGGGCTCCGCGGTGGCCCCGCCCCGGACCGGCCCCGCCCCTGTCGTGGCGGCCCTCCCCCGCCGGGCTCCGCTAGCACAGCCGGTTCCTCTTTACATAACGGCGCGGGGCGGAATGGGCTCGGGCCACCGCCTCCGCCCGGCCGCCCGCCTGGACTATCGCGGCCCGCGGTGGCAGCGGTGGCGGCAGCAGCAAAGTTTCCCCGGCGGCGGCCCGGGGGCGCATCCTCCCGCAACTGTCAAGCACTGGCGGCGGAAATGATGAGACGCTGGCCATTTTCCGAGCCCGGGTTTCCTGCCTGAGCCCCGCTCGAGCGAGCCGCGAGCCAGGAGCCGGCGCGCGGGAGAGAACGTGCCCGGGGCGGGGGCCCGCCCGCCCCCTCGGGATTTCGAGGGGTCGGGGGCGCGCGACGCCATGGGCCGGCCGGTCCCTGACCCCCTCTCTCTCAGGTAAGCCCGCCCCTCCAGCTCTCGCCTTGGGGAAGGGAGGGCTTTCGTGGGGGAAGAGGAGGCCCATGTCCAGTCCGTCCAGTGTCTGCGCACTCACAGCAGCCTGAAATACTGTCCTGCCGCTAACTCGCTTCGAGGTGCTCGGGGTGACCCTTCTCCAGCTCCTGTGCCACCCTCCGGGCGACACCCCCACCCACCCACACACGTGTTGGGGATGTAATGGGGATAGCCGAGGCGGTGAGGGAGGTGCCGAGAGAGGGTATGGCTAACACCCCCAATCCACCTCTGAAGGCAGCCCAGCCCGTCGAGGGCAGCCTTCCCGCTCCACGTGTGCCTGGTGGGGAAGGGTCGGGGGTCACCGTTTGCGACCTTGAAAGTGAAAGTAGTCCAACTGAGGACCTGAGAATGGAAGAGCCCTCCAGCCGCAGCTAGCCTCTCCTCTCTCCCAGGCCAGGCCATGTGGCTACCAGGGTAGCACCCCGATTTTGGAAGCCCCTCTTCCCCACTCCTTGCATTGTGGGGGTGAGCGGGGTCAGGTACCCCCATGCCACTGAATTTAGAGGTTCACAGGGTTAGAAAGTCCCAGACCCAGGTCTGTTTGGTCTAGGACCCTCACACCTGGGACCTGGGGCTCCTGACGCTCCTGGGGAATCCTCCCACCAAAGAAATAGAAGGGGGTGTGGGGCTGCACTGGGCTGATTGATCAGCAGAGCTGGGAGGGTATCTCAGAGGCCTTTAATGCCCCGTGAAAAAATCCCCTTCCTCCCTTTGGCCACCGGGGCTTTTGGGATGATGGGGACTGCATTTGAGGAACTGTATTTGCCTGTCCGGCTTCTTTATTTCTTTAGTTTCCTCATTCTCCTGTTTCTCTTCCCCATTCCCGGGGCCACTGTGATGTAGGTGAGGAGGTCACTGCCTGCAGCTGGGGGCCTCCAGGGAGGGGCATGGCCAGGCCGGCCCTGGTGGGAGGAAGTGAAATTGGGGTGCGGGCAGGGGCTTCAGAGTAGAGGGCCTGGTAATGCAGTGTCCGCAGGGCCAAGGTCCAGCTTTGGGGGCAGGAGGGGCTGAGATTTGATCCGAACCCCCCTTGCTTGGGAAGTGAGCATCCCCTGACACCTACCAGCTGCCAGGCTCAGCTGGACCACCAGCCCATGCTGCATTCCCACTTAGAGTCCAGCCACAGGGCCCTGCCGGGGCAGTGGGCGCAGGAGTCTCCAGGGTTGTGGGTGCGAGTTGTGTCTGGATTTACCATCACTGACCTGGCTGCCAGAGCGGAAACAGCTCTGTAGGCTCCTGGGACCCGGCCCTAATGAGGGGAGAGCAGGCAGAGGCCGCCTGGGCAGCCTGGGGGTCAGCGGATGAGAGGCCAGAGCCTGTTGGGGAAATTGGAAGGGTTTTTAATACACGTTTTCTGAGCCTTTTCCCACAACCCCCCTCTGGGAGGGAAAATCCTTCTGAGCCAAAGGGTGAACATTCCTAGAACTTGTCGGAGTCCCTGCGGGCTCCAGAGGCCGAGGCGAGGCTGGGAAGGGGGTGGACTGAGGTATCAACTGCTGGGGTCCGAGGACCTTCAGGGGCTCAGCAGTGGCCAAGGAGCATCCTGGAGACTCAGATTCAATTCTCTCTCTGCCTCTTTCCAACTGAGGGTGGGGGCAGGTGACACTCGTGAGCCTCAGCTTCCCATTATGTTAAATGGGGTAATAACAGGTTTGTGGTAGAGACTTAATGAGCTAGTGTATGAGAAGCACCTGCTGCCTGGCAGAGAAAGGGTTCAATTATAGGTGGAGGTGGTGATTTTATCAGGGCCATCATTAGTGTTACTGGCTATGGAAGCTCCGAGGTTCCCTGAATCTCGGGGAGAAGAATTCTGAAGACCCAGGCAGGAGGAGCCAGATGGTGCTTCCTGACTAGGAGACCTCGCTTAACCACCCCAGCCTCAGTTTTCTCACCTGTCAAATGGGAACATACCTATTTCTTAGGGTCTTTGGAGCCATAAATGAGTGAATTCACCAGGTGTTTACGATGGTGTGATCAGGAGGAGGAGGAGTAACAGTGTGAGATTGTCCTTATACTGTTTGCCATGGATGTTAGCTCTGCGTGTTTTCCTACCAGGTCCTCCCGATCCCCTCTCTTCTGAACCCTGGGCATGAGCCTTCCCTGATAGGACTTTCTAATACAAATCAGATTCTGGAGAGCCACTCCAGATATGGCAGTCGCCTGGGCCCAGCAGGTGCTGGGCAGGTAGCCCTGCAGTAGTTCAGTCTGTGGGGCCCTTTGGATGTCTGGGTCCAGCTGTGCCACCCTGGAAAACCCTCCACCTCCTGCATGGAACTTCTCCTTGAGCAGAGGGGGGTGGGGCTGGAGGCACTTGGAGGCACTCCTGCTGCCAGTCCTAAACCCCCGCCCACTTTGAGTGGCAGACACAGGGCATATAAAGCACTTAGTGCTGGGCTTGGCACTCACTAGATATTATTGTTATTGTTATTATTAACTGAGAGGCCTTTCCTGTTAAGTTCCCACCTCTCCCTGGTAGCAGCATGGGCTTTGGAGCTGAATATGGGCTCTGCTAGCTTGTAGCTGTGAGGCCTTGGGCAAGTTACCTAACTTCTCTGGGCTTCACTTGCCCATTGGGAGCCAAGAATCCCTGCCTCTCCAAGGTATATGAGCCTGTATGTGAGGTCATGCTCCAAGTGCATGAGCCTGGCACAGAGTGTTGGGTATAATTTCTATGGCTGTGTGACCTTGGGCATGTCCCTTAACCTCTCTGAGCCACAGGTTTCCTCATCTAGGACATGGGAGTACAAATGACTACACAATAAGAGACATGCATGTGCCTGGCATACAGTCAGTGCTCAATAAGTGGGAGCTACTGCTATTAATGCCCAAGAGGGGGCTGGCACTTAATTGCCAGGTTTCCAGGGAAAAGAATCCCCAGGGGGCCCTGGTTGTTCAGCATTTGGGACTGGGTGGGGCAGGAAGCTGCTTCCATCTGGCAGACAGGAGAAGCCCGCCTCACAGAGTCCAAAGGTGTCATGCAAGTTGCTCATTCCCAGCCAGACCCTATTCCCAGCTGCCCGTCCTCCCTGAGGAAACTGAGGCGGGCAGGCTGCCCAGGGGAAGTGACTCAGCTGGGGTCACTAGCTGAGTCAGGCCTAATTGGACCCAGGAGCCCTGTGCCCCAGCTCCCTGGCTTCTGGGGGCCTGGGGTCCATTGGGGACTAGGCAGGTCCAAAGGCCACAGCCGGATACTGCTTGTTTAGGCCCTGAAGCCTGGGTGACCAGCTCTCCTTGGTGAGGGCTCCAGGGTCCCACTGGCCATCACTGGGCTGCTCAGCCCAGTGTCCTTCCTCCCGGCAGGGCAAGGGGCACTTCCCCGGGAGAGAGAGCAGGTCCTCCTGGCGTCCCTCGGCCCGCCCAGGCCGGAAACCCGGCAGCTGAGCAGATGGCTGGAAGATTTTTCCTCCCACGCCACCCTGTCAGGGGTCGGCCATGGGGGCTGGGCTGCAGGCTTCCTTGTGAGCCGGCCGGGAGCCTCTGGGGGCCTGCCCGGATGTGGGCCCCCACCCTGGCTGGTCAGGGGGAGCCTGCCACTGCCCCATTTGTCCCCAGGGAGGCCTGGGAGGGAGGAAGTTTGTGCCCTGCTCACCGGGAGCTGACTCACAGGGCGCCTGACGGTGGGGGGCAGGAGGGAGGGGGGAAAGAGACTGGCCTTGGGGGACCAGGGGACTGGAAATGCGATTGGGGGAGGTAGACATAGAGGACTGGTAAGGAATCTGGTTTGAGTGCCATCTTCCTCACAGGAAGGCTCCAGAGAGGGTGATGAATGTGGGGAGAGGCACAGGAGTGGGTGGGTTTTGAGGGCACCACTGATTGGGGTGGGGAGCTTGTTGAGATGCTTCCCCTTGTTAGGGTCCCACCCTTCTCCCCTTTAGCTGGGGCAGTTAACAGGCAGGAGTCACATGCTGGGACTGGGAGGGGGTGGGGTTTGGAAAGGACTGCCCATTCTTGGGGGGATGGTCCCTGTCTTTCCCCACCTCCCCAAGCCTGGCTGGGGTCCGGAGTGTCAGACTGGGGGCGGAGGCAGAGGAAGCAGAGGACATTTCCTGTCTGGCAGACTGTACTGGGCTGATAAATGTCCCTGAGCACTAGGTGACCCAAGAGAGTGCATCAGGGCCCTGCTGACAGCCAAGGACCTAGGGCAGACCCACCTCTCAGCCTCCCTGGGGCCCCAGAACCTTTGTTCCCTACTTCCAAGATACTTCGCCACAGCCTTGCCAGCTTGAATGCTGTGAAAGGGCAGCGGGCCGCTTGCCAGGAAGTGTGTGGGAATCCCCCAACTCTCTAGGGCTCCTTGGGCAGATGGTCTGGGCTCCTGGAGAAAGTGCTGTGGGTGGGAAGGACAGAAATGCTCCGTGTGGTCTGGAATCAACCTGGAGGTTCCCCTGGAGGAGGGGGTCTCAGATGGTTTGAGACTTCCTGCCCAACCATCTGTGAGCTGGGGCCAGGAGTGCTGTGTACCTAGGGGACAGTAGAGGCTAAGACTGGCTCATTTTAACTTCATTTACCACAAGTTAAAATATCCTCCTCAAGCCTTGGCAGGTGGAATTCCCACAGTGGGGAAGGGCCTTCTCTGCACCTGGGCCTGATAATTAAAAGGGAAGTGTTAGCTTGCCGAGATTACATTACCCAGGCTGATTGGATGGAGGGGAGTCTGAGAGCCCCGATCTTGGGGCTCATGGGCCCCACAACTCAGAGCCAGGATTCCCAGCTGTTTAAGAGCCTGATATCTCCCTGACTTGGTAGAGGCTTTAGGGTTCCTTAGCATGGATGTGCCTGAACAGGGGACACAGACAACAGGCTAAGACTTCAGCCAGTGGACACGGTTGTTCTGAACTCGAGGTCCTGGAGGCAGACTCATCCCTATCCTGACCCCAGGATGGCCATGGACGAAGCTGTCATCATCTCTGTGTGTTGGCTGTGGGGATTTGGGGGAATCCTGG